CGACGACTAGTATTTTAGAAAAAGAAGCCATTAGCAAGGAATTGAAAGAAGAAAGTGAACGGAAGGGCAAAGAGCTACAGATAAGAGCAACAAGAGTGAAAGAGCGACTTTGGACAAGCGTGTAGATAAATCGCAAAAAGAGGGGATTTTAAAACCCTTATGTCCAAAGTTACCTATTTTAACATAACGGGTTAAATAGACCCAGGTTCTAACCTATGTGTGATCAAGGCTTTTATTTTAAATCCCTGAGAACGCAAGAAATAAGACTACCTCCGAGTTAGAATGTAGATACCTTATGAAGGAGGGAACCATATTTCAAATACCCAGTTTAGCTTCGAAAGGTGTTAGGTGGCTTCGAAGCCAATTTTCAAATACTTAGCTTAAATTTGAAACTAGGTAGTTGGCTTCGAAAGGTGTTAGTTGGCTCTGAAGCTAGTTTTCAAATACTTAGCTTAACTTTGAGAACAGGTAGTTGGCTTCGAATCCAGTCTTATACCTTGAATTTAAGCATAGTTAAGATCTGCTCACTTCAAGAATCCTGGAGGTGTGCTTTTAGACTTTCCAACAAAGGAAGTTTCCCTCAAAGGGATCTTTGTAATGACCTATAGTTAGAATATGGTTCTTGCCTATTCTTTCAGCATAAATAAGCACTATGAAACCAGTTTTTGGTTAAGCATTATAGAAAGTCCAAAGGCCAAAGGACTATTCTTACGCTTTTGCTTATATAAGATCCTTTGAAGGCAAATAGGGTCGTTCTTAAGAGAAATTTCGTGCTTTGAAATACCTGAGTCAGGCCTCAAAGCAAAATTGGTGTTGTTATTCACACAGATTATATTAACCATACGATTGGAGTGTGAAAACCTAAGATAAACACCATTACTCCTATGAGGAATTTTATGATTCGAAGCATTTAAAACCAGGCATCAAAGCAAGTTGGTTGCCTCGACACTGTTGTTCATAGATTACATAAACAGAGTAAGGCATTTAGCCATATTCGCCATGCAATCGATCATACAATTGGAATATAAAACCCGATCATGACAAATGATGTTTGAAGAACTCTGTTTTATTGAGATGCAATATTTACATTGGGAACACCTACTTGGTTACATTCTCAATTTCATAAAAGTAAGGAATGGACAAAGTCACAAGATCATGGAACTTTGTCCAGCAAAATTCAATAAATACATACTCTTTTCCTAACCTATCTTCTATCCTATCTAAATTTGGTTTATCTAACTGATGAGCCCTTAGTTGGAAAAAGAGATGTTGGGCCTTCAATTCAAATTATGTCTGTTTAAGAGCCTTATCTGTTTCATCCATTTTTCCTGCCCCATGTATTTCATTCATAGAGGTATCTCCTCCAAACTCTAAGTCTTGGTTCTTGAAGTTTTCATATTCTTCAAGAAGATTCTCTGCCTCATACTCAATTTGAATACGAGCAACAGAGGTTTCCTCCAACAACTAACTGGCTAACTGGTAATGGAAGCATTTGTGTGCCAGTTTCATAGAAGAGAAAGTTGATCCAAGAAAGTATAAAGCTCTACTTGGGCTATAGGGTTAAGGATGTGGCTTCGATAGATAATATCACAAGACCATAATAAGTTCTTGTGAGGAATATCATCTCGAAGGACCTCAAAGGATAAATGGGAGAAAGCGGCAAGCAGAGTCAGGGCTCTCTACTGTTGGTAAGTAGTAGGAAGGACTGGGGCTTGGTAGAGAGCAAAATGTTGGCTCTCAAAGAAGGTGAGTTTCAATTCTTCAATCCAGTTAGGATTGGACGGCGGGGAAAGAGCAATTGGGTCCTCTCCAAAGAAAGGTGGGAATTCAGGCTTGTTCACATATTCTAGCCAGTCAGAAGAGCAAAGTTTTGCCTTCTTAGCTAAAAGTGAGAGACTGAGTCCCAAGGATTCAATAGGGTGTGGAGTATTTCGCACTATTCTGGATGGCAAGGTGGAAATATACCATGCCAAAAACAAGTTGTCCTCAAGGCTGGGAAGACGATCGAGGGGGACATATGGATATACTATAGAGCTACACATGAAGGGATGGATTGCAATGGGGTCATCAAATTCAGGGAATCGATGGTTGATTCGCTCCCTTGTTTGAGGTTGAGTGGGTGTAGGCCAAGTTCCCCAGCCAATGCTGTTAGAAGTGTTGCTAAAGGAAAATAAGGCAACTTTATCCCATGCAGAAAGTTTGGAGGCAGAGGAGGAACTTCCAAGATTCATTTTTGCAAGTTCGTGGTCCAAAGGTTGATAGTTTGCAAAAGCATCCATAACTTGAATAAATGGAGGCAGATAAGCGTGGCCAATAAATGCATGAAGGTTCTTTCGAGGACGAACATCATTGACTAATACCTCTTCGTATGTATGATCGATGAAAAAAAAAAGGTTTGTTTGGCCATAGGAACTGTATCAGCCTTTTCGAATACTCAGATAGTGGAAAATGTTCAAGCACAAGAAAGAGTTTAATGCAGATCAAGTGCGTCATTTATGGAAGACAGTTGCATTTCTAAGAAGATGCAAAGTCCATGCATGTCCCAGGACGTGGACAAAGTACATTGAGTCCACTAATATCACCAATTATTGGATGTATTAGTGCGGGGGGTAATGTTGGCTATACATTTTGTGAAAGCTAATCGTAGCTCGACACGTGGTACATGAGGGGCAATTCAGGGAGTTAATACAAGTCTCCAGTCAAAGACAGACATGTGGCAGGTCATATTGGTTATAATGGATCTGCGCAGCACTGGAATAGCTAGAAGGCGCAAGATGATGTGGCACAACGGTTACTCACGAATTCAAATTCAAATCCAAGAGGGAAGCCTAACTGTAAAAATGGTGTAGTAGGACTGACTATAAGAGAGCATGATTAGCAATCATGGGAGAACATTTCGACGGTTGGAAGCCCACTTCGATGGTTACCCTTGAAGAGTATAAATAGCATGGAAAGTCTCAAATTGAAAGACCCAGACTGAGATCCAAAAACCAGTTTATTTACTTCATATTTCTTTCCAGTTCTTTACATTTCGAGTTCTTTACGTTTCAGCATTGCAATTATGTACTGTACTTTATTTCTTAGGAGTAGTTTCAAGTAATCGTTGCTATGAACCTCTGCGAGGCTGGGTCATTGTAACTTCATTGTAAGTTCTCATTTGCTTAATGAAATTCAATTTCTGAATTGTTAAGTACTTGTTATTTCTTATCAATTTCTCCTAAAACAAGCCACCAATAAAAGTCATCTTCATTGAGGCTAAAAGAACTTCAACAAAATCGTCTGATAATTGGTTGGCAATTAAAATTCTATAAGAACTAATTGATCCTTACTGGCACGCTTAAATTTACATTATTAACCCTTGAAAGTCAAAAAAACCAACATTGACTAATAGTGCCAAAAGGGTAGCAACCACTAATACATAGTACATGATATATATTATACAAAAACAAACTGTTATCATATGCAGATAACTGAATATAGAGATTAGAAAAAATTTAGATTTAGGACAATCCCACGCTGCTGGTCCAGCTAGAATTAAATTTGCACACCTAGCAGTTTTTTTTTTGTTTTTCAATAAAAAACTTAGAAATGGTTGATGAAACTTCATATGCGACTAACACACATTAAAATATGATCTGAAAATGAATGAAAAGATAACCTTAACTATTGGGGCAGAATGAGGAACTTTTCAAGCCTGATTCCAAAATGCTAAAATTTATCAAAATGTGTGTGAAAATCAAATATGAAAAATGTAAATACATCAAGCGCAACTTATTAGAAACTACAGGAAACAATCAAAATTGAGGTAATAAATTGAGTTTCATAACAGGAATCCAAGTCCATGGAAATAAAATATGTCATAGGAAACACAAATGCAGAGGACTTACAAAATGAGGTAATGATCCAAGGAGTTTCTTTTTTTTACCCTTTTCTTCCACTGAGGATAGGCGGTGACGAGCTTGTCTTAATTCTTTAACATCGCCCCAGTTGGTCCGTCTGGTGAGCCACACTGTTGAACCTTATCATGTCATTGCTTTTCAAGAAGGGATATTAGTCTGTGAAGGTCACTGGCTGCTTGTTCCTACAAAATGTAATCTTGAGGGTTATGGAGGAGATGGAGTTTTGAGGAGAGCTACTCCCGGATTGGACACATAGCATTCATTCATCACATTTGAAATCTCACCACCTTTTGATCAAACAGCCGAGGGTTAATGTAGAATAACCACTTCCATTTCTTGGGGGATACACCAGAGATGCTTGGGCAAGGTGACTATGGGATTGGGACACATGCACTTTAAGAGCTAACCTAGTATTCCACTAACCAAAGTGGTTGTGGAGAAGCAGCCTGCTATTCCTAATAATCAAGAGGTTCCCGTAGCTATATAAAGCCACTTGAAAATGGAAAAAAGGACATCTAACTCAAATAAAATATTTGGCAAGCCATCCGTGTCAAAATTTAGCGTAGTTTAGTTCAAGGCATCCATAACAAACAATAGCCACGTCAAATTTAGTTTTGGCTAATGTAAGATTTGGTGTAAAATACCGAGGTGCAAAGTGAAATTTGCCTAACCCAATATTTCGTTTTGCCCTCAGAATCTCTTAAACTAATGAATTTCATATATCCAAAATTATATCAATTAAAAATTAAAAAATAAATTTTCTAAGAGTTGCATTTAGAAGCTTTTTTACCTTGTCAAAGGTTTTATCTCAAATAGTGTTTGCGAGGTATGTAATAATGAAATGAAGCTCCTGAATATACAATGCTTGCTGGATTGTTATTTTGCCTATTGAGGTTTGGAAATTATCTAAAGAATAGAGGAGCGGTGTGTGACTCCGACCCATTAAATGTTTGGATCTCACTCCATATGAGAGAGTTACATCTTATTCTGTGCACATGGAAGACCTGTCTGCTGTGGTTTAAACTACATTTCAAAGCCGAGTCTAATATTAGTTACAAGAAGCTAATATGTAAAACATTAGTTAAACTAAGGAGGCAAAGATGGGACAATTCAAAGCCATTAGGGACATTTACTAAAAAACAGTAGATATATAACAACAATAATGAGAAACACAGAGTTTAGAAAAGTATTCCACAAGAACATTACATAGATAACATACCCAACAAAACAACATTAATAGCATAATTCTAAATGCAGCTAAGTTCAAGGGCTTCTGATGGAGATAACAACTCCTTCCTCCTTCCTTTTAGATACAAGCCATTCATCGATTGGTTATCCAACGAACGCTTGTCACTTCACGCTTCATGGTTCTCTTACTGATATGAAATTTCCATTACATGCACTAAGACAATGTCAAGAAGCCCATCAGAAGAAGCAAATAATACTGGAAAGAATAAAAATATAAGCAATACTTTTGAGTTCAAAGAAATTGGCTCACCTGGTAGAGCCACAAGGTCATAAAATTTTGGTGCCCTTCAATTTATTGAAGCCTCCTAAGGCCACTAAAGTCCTCCCACCCTGCCAAGTCAAGATTCGGACAATTACTAATCTCAAGATTCCTCAACTTGGCTAGGTTCTTCATGGTACTAGGCAGAGAGGTCAAATTGGGACACGCTGCAATAGTCACTGTTTTTAGTTTGACGAGGAGTTGCATTCCTTCAGGCAAAGATTTAAGGTTTCCACATCCTGTAATCTGAAAGGATCGGAGAGAGGTCAAGCGTCGAATTTGTTTCTCTGGCAAATAACATTGTTGTGTGGTTAAGTACAAATGCCTAAGACAGATTAAGTTCCCTATGTGTTTGGGTAACTTTCGAATTTTCACACAATACCAGATTCTCAAAGTTTGCAAATTAAACAGTTTGCAAATGGCATCAGGGAGTGTCTCGATATTTGCATTCCCACTGATGTCCAAAAATCTCAAATGCTTCAAATTACCAATGGAATGTGGCAATACCTGAAAACATGAGTTACTCAAATCAAGCACATACAGATACTTGAACTTTGAGATGCATCTGTCAACAAAGCCTTGGTCACCAGCTCCTGGTCCTAGAAATGGAAAGACAATAGTCCTCAGATTCTCTAGTTCAAACAATGACTTTGTCACTTCTTCCCCTGAACAATCATGAACTGATACATGCTTAACCTTATCAGAAATCGGTCCAGAACGATAATTTGTTGTACTTAAGCATTCTCCATTTGCCATAAATACTGCGAGATCATGAATGATCTCAGGCATTCTACACATATTTGATAAATTGTCGTGATGTTCAATCTTTTCAAAGAAAAATATGGAACATAATTGATTTAAATAATCAATGCCAATATCTTCCAGCTCACAATTAAAGCCAGATGATTGAATGAGCCCCTGTGCCATCCACAACTGAATCAATTTATCAATCTCAATTTCATAGCTTTTTGGAAAAATTGAATAATATATGAAGCAGCGTTTCAACTCAGTTGGTTGTGTGTCGTAGCTCGATCTTAACACGACCAAAAAGTCATGTTTCTTTTGTGCCAATTCCCATAGTTGTTTCTCTTTTAATTCTAACCATTTACATTCATTAGTCTCCATAAACAAATTGTTGCCTAAAGTCTTTGCTGCACGAGGATATCCGTGGCACTTTTTCACAATTTCCTTTGCGATTTCTGAGAGTTTCGCATTCACATGTTCCTCCCCCAATTTTTCAGGGAAACCAGCCCATTTCCAAATCAATTCCAGGCAATCTTCATCTGAAAGACTCTCTAAATTGTATGTGGGAACTGTGCCCACAGCTAAAGCAACCCCCATGTTACGTGTAGTCACTATGATCTTACTTCCCATGGTATCACCACATCTCAATAAGGCATACAACTTATGCCAACATCGATAATCACATTCACATAAATTGTCCAAGACGAGTAAAAATTTCGTGTTACGCAATTTTAGTTGAAGGAGATTCTTTAACTGAATTGAATTGAGGTCAGCACAAGCGGGGAAATCAGTTATGTACTTCATAATTTTTTGCATCACATATTTAACATCAAGACATTTTGCTACCTTCACCCAAATCCTCAACTGAAAATGCTTGGCGACCATGTCATGATTGTACAGCTGTTTAACGAGAGCTGTCTTACCAATACCCGCGATACCAACAATGGGGAGGACAAGCATGCCATCATCGTCAACACTTGGGTTCATTAAAAATTGGAACAATATTACTCTATCATTGACCCTTCCAACAAATTCCGACTCACTGACTTCAGAGGAGATTGATGAGCTGGTAGCCGTCTTATGTTGTGATGTTGTGACAATGGGATGAAACTTAGTCCTATCATCCGCGATCATGTCTAATCTCTTTCTGATATTTACGATTCTACTGCTCAGTTCAAATTTAAATCGGAAATCAATTGCGTGTGAGGATGAAAAGAAATTGCTTACCTGAAACGTCCTCGTCACTTGACGTTGTAAAACTTCATACTGAAATTCATCGACGAGGTTATCTGCATCATAGAAAGCAGCTTGGAGTCTGTCAAACCACACCTCCATCGCAATTGAGTACTTGCTATGATCGTACAATCTCTCAGCATCTAAGAGCACAGCCTTGATGGTGGACAAGGTGTCTGAGAGTGTGTTCAGCTCCTGCTCAACACCCCATGCCTTGCCAACTTCCCCGATTGCACCTGACCCTATCTTGCCCAGAATTTTACTTGCTAAGTTGAAAAGAATTGTTTCTACCATCTTCTTATTTCTTGAAGATCAACAAGAAGTTGAAGAAGAAGAAAGATTAATGGAAGCCAAGGTGGGTTGGCTTTAGTTTAGCTTGTACTAGTAGTAGTTGGTGCCACTGAAGTGCAGGTGAGTGTAACTGGGAAGTTTCTATTTTCACACCACACAAACTTTTTTTTAATTGTTTCATATTTTCTCAATTCACACCGACGCCTTTTCATAGAAAAAACCCAAAATACCCTCGTCTTCCCAACTCTCTAACCACTCTAACCAAATTCTAGTCTTTAACCCTAATCACTATCTACCTCTCTCGTCATTGCCCCCTCCCCAGCCTCCTCCTCCTCATTCTCCTCCTCCGGTAACTGTCACCTCGTCTCAATTAATCGTTTTTAATGATATAGATATATATTTCAATTAAAAATTCATATAATTTTATTATTATATAAAAGAGTAGTTAAAATTTTTATTTTATCTATTAAATAACAAATTTTGACAAATGACATATTTTTAATTTTCAGAACCACAAGAAATCATTTATATTTTAAACAAATCTCAATATTGTATTTATAATTTATCATTTTTTATTTGTTTATACAATAATATGTTGCCCATCGTTAGATTTTTATTAAGGCAAATTACAATGATTTTCTCTGAATTTAAAAAAAATATAATAAATATCATAATTTTGATTTAATTATATTGACATTTCTTTTAATAAGATTAAATAGATCAAACTTAATGCAGATGGTGTGAAAATATAAAAATAAACAACGTAAAATTTATAATTTCATTTTAAAAAGATGATAACATTATTTTCTCATATATATATATAACTAACAAATTATTAAAATTTCAAAATAACTTAATATAATTAATTAAAACTGTAAAGTATATTGTATTTTTTAAAAGAATATCAAGAGAGATTAGTATAATTTAGCCTTTTATAATTATTATTTTTGAACAGTATTATTATTATTATTACTATTATTATTATTTGAGAAACAAGAAACATTTACCAGGATACTGTCTACACATGGGTCCACAGGGTTTTTCACTTTCAGACTTTCTTGTGGGGGCGGTTCAAGCTTATTGTAATTTTTTGTTTTTCATTTTATTTATAATAATTTCTATTTAGGATAAATTATAACATTCACTTATAAAATTTAGATTTAATGGATGTGTGATCGGATGAGATAAGTTGTCTACATTATAAAACTATGTTTTTTTACCCAATAAATTAGAGTTCAACTGTGATAATTTGTACAATTGTCTATAAATTGGGTAATGAGAGGGTAATTTTTGGGAAAAATTGGGCCGAGCTGCAAGTTGGGCTTTGAGGCCCAAAACGCGAAGGACTAAGTAAGAAGGCCGTAAAGGATACTCCGGCCCAGAGAGCAATGTTACTCTCTGGGAGAAGTAAATGTTACTTCGGCTCATGGATGTAAAGCTACTCCGGCCTTGGGAAGACAAAGTTACTTCGGCCCAAGAAAGAGTAAAACTACTCTGGTCTGGAGGCAACTCACAGTTAGGCCGATCTCAGAGTTAGTCCGGTCGTGACTTACAATGGTTAGGTCGGTCAGAACTTGTTACTTGGAAGTTTGATCTAAGCGCATCAAGGTTGAACAGGGCAGCCGAAGTAAAGAGTTGGAGGAGAGGACCGAGCTAAGGATAGTTCGGCCTTCTGTGAAACATTTACCAGGATACTGTCTACACATGGGTCCACAGGGTTTTTCACTTTCAGACTTTCTTGTGGGGGCGGTTCAAGCTTATTGTAATTTTTTATTTTTTATTTTATTTATAATAATTTCTATTTAGGATAAATTATAACATTCACTTATAAAATTTAAATTTAATGGATGTGTGATCGGATGAGATAAGTTGTCTACATTATAAAACTATGTTTTTTTACCCAATAAATTAGAGTTCAACTGTGATAATTTGTACAATTGTCTATAAATTGGGTAATATGAATAAAAATTTAAAAATTAAATAGATGAAATTGATAGTTTACCAATAAAATAGAAAAAATTTCAATAATATAAAAAAGTAAAAGTGAAATTAAACCTTATTTTATAGAAGGTGCCTAGGGTGTAAATTTGGCCCGACTTGGCCCGGCCCATGTCGGGCTTTGCGGGCTCCCGCCAAAATTTAGGCTGAGCCAGGCCACGGGCCAGAAAATTAAACCCAAGCCCAGGACCAGGGGGTATTTGAGCCTTGGGCAGGCCTGAACAATTTTTTTTGTTTTTTTTTATTTTTTCTACCAAATTTTTATTAGTTTTCATTAAAAAAGACACTGGGCCTTGGCCAGGCTAGGCCTTAAGCGGGCCCCGAGCCCCTGAGCCAGGCTGGGTTTCAAAATGATGACCCAGACCCAGGCTCAGGCCTAGGGTCTCGGGCTAGGCTCGAGCCTAGGACCAAACGAGCCTAAACCCAAGCCACAGGCAGGCTTCAGGACTCCCATGGGCCACGAGCCATTTTTACACTCCTAAAGATGCCATTGAATTACAGGTGAGTAGAAAAAAGAAGTGGCAACTAGGGTTTTGAATTCGATCCACACGTTGTCCAACATTAAGGAGGGGTAAAATAGACGATGGAGAGACGACCGCGTAATTGATTGGGTAAGACTTGAAATTGTAGGTTGACTTAAAAACAATTGAGTTAATTACTTAAAAGTCTTATTTACAAATGTTATAGTAGCTTAGGTTTTTTTTAAAAATTTTGAACTACTAAGTCATATTTAGTAAAACTGAAAATATTATTAATTTTTTTTCAGTTTTTAAAACTAAAAATATTATCAATTTTGTATAGTAATATTCCAGATAATTGTTTCACTAACTAATAAAAAACGAACAGAACATGAGATTAAATGTTTTTGTCATTCTACGTATTGGTTTGATTTAACTATTTAATAGAATTAAGAATATTATCAATTTTTTCAATTTTAAAATTGAGAACATTATTAGTTTTTTTATTTTTAAAGTTTTTTTTTTCAGTTTTGCGCATCAATGTTCCATCATCATGCTCCTATATAGACACAAATTTTTCAGTTTTGCACAAAAAAATAATTTAATTTTTTAATTTTTTTCAAAAAAAAATAGTTTTTCTTTTTTTTTTTGCACATTTTTTTTTTGTATTTTTAATTTGAAAGTTGATATTTAATGTTTTGAAAATCAAAATAAATGTCAAATCATCATATTCCTTTATAGATAATCATAAATAATAAACAATCATTATTTGAACTATTAAAAATTTAATGAGATTTGAAGGTTCAAAAAATCTTAGTTAAAATTTACCGGAGTATAAGTTTATAAATTAAGACTTATGTGTAAATATCTAAAAAAATTATTATTTTCGTTTGTCATGTTTAAATGAATAAAAAAATAAAACACGTAAGAAATTAATATAAGCAAGATTTCTTTTTTTATTTTTTATTTGTATTTTAAGGGGTAATATGTTATAACTAATCACCTTATTTCTTACCAAGTATCATTGTCTTTAGTGAGAAACAAAATAAACATAGTAAAATAGTTTTTTTCTCATCCTTCTTTTTTTTTTTTTTAATCCTTTCTCATCATGTTTCACTCAACTTACAAACTACACACACAAAAAATAAAAATAAATAAATAAATAAACAATTATTATCTTTTTTTGTTGTTTTTCACCAAATCACTCAATCTAACACTACAACATATAACCGTTTTAGAAACCAAATATTTTGAAAAAAAATTATTTCAACACACTTAATTAGTTCAATATACATCTTTTCTCAATATACACTATTAATTTGATTATTAACTAATTCTCTAACTCCACACACTTAAAGTTACAATAACACATTTTATTTATAATCATTGTACACACACTGCTTTACCTTTCTTTCCGCACACTTTCTAAGACCCTACTTTCCCATTTACAGTTCCACCCATACAAAAGTGAGGACCAAAGTCAATAAAATTTCCTCTATTAAAAACTTCTATTGAACCTCCACCAAAAACCATTGAAAATCTGATTTTAATAACCTTGTTTGCCAGGACCAAGTCATTTATTTCTGTCATGTCTTGGTTCACAAGCATTAGAAGTTACTGTTTGGCTTGATGGGAAGGAATACCAACCAAAATATTCCCGTGGAAAGCCGGGAACAACTTTAATATGTCATGAGCTTGCAGATGAATCAAAAGAACATCAAGGGACACACATTAAAGTTTTGGTCATTCAATTCCTTAGTGATAGTTGCCTTTAATGATTCCATATTCTTTTTCTGGTCATTCAATTCCTTAGTGATGGTTGCCTTTAATGATTCCATATTCTTTTTCTGACTATGAACCTTATGCAGTATTCACTACTGCAATTCAGTTTGATTACCCCACCATTACTGGACGAATTAGGGAGCTTGTTTTTTTAAACCCTGAGGTAGAGTCATTACAACCTGCTTGTAGTTCTGTTGCATCTTTGAAACTTCTAAATATTGATTTTAGCATGTCTCTTCAATTCTTCATTTTTTCTTTTTGAATTTGATGTTTATTTATTTTAATACTTTGAACAAGGTGGAATTTTCCTCGACATTTACCAATCTTAAGTCGAATTTGCTTTCTATTTTGCAGCTCCTCCAATGTGGAAATGTGGTCCTTCTGAATCTGATAACAAGTAATGTGACAATAATGAAAAAATTAATATATATTTTTTTTAATTTAAAAGGTGTATATTGAGATTATTAAAAAATGTATACAGAAAATTTTTTCATATAATATTAGGAATGTTGCTGGATGTCTATTATGGTTATTTTTATTTCGGATATAATTGTCATTAAATTAATATTTCATTAAGTGTGTGTCCTAAACTAACTAGGTGTGTGGAAATAAAATTTCCCAATATTTTGATCTATAAAAGTAAAAATTTTGTTGCAAAAGACATTTAAGAACAAATTTCTATCGTTACGAGGATAGTCGTTAAAAAGTCGTCACGAAAAATAAAAAATAAGACTTTTAGCGACAAAATTTTGAAAATGTCACTAATAAATAGACTTTTAGGGATAAAATAATTTAGTCTCAAAATAATTTATTTTTTGGGAACAAAGAATTTGGTCCCAAAAAGAAAATAATTCATCACTAATGTCTAATTTTCGTTGCTAAAAATATATTAAAAACACTTTTTGCAACAAAAATTTTTGGTCCCTA